TTTAGTATACCCTTTTACTCTACGAGTAACGGGTATAAAAATGTGCACATGAAGAATATCTTTGCCAATTTGACATCCAAGCTCCAACTCATACTGAGCAAAGTTGACCATTGTGCCATTACGATGGATGGTTGGACGTCGAAGGCCAACGATGGCTACCTCACAGTCACAGTGCACTTTATTAATTACTCCTTTGAGCTGAAACCCGCTGTTCTGTCAGCAGAAAAACTGATGGACTCCTTTAATCACAATGCTGACAATATAGCAGCATCTGTTCGAGTTGTGTTCTCTAAATGAAACTTAGAGTCGAAAGTAAACGCCATAATGACAGACAATGCCAGCGCAATTATTGCAAGATTGCTTGGACGAAGTGTCGATAAAGCATGTTTTAACCAAATGGAAGAGAATTGTACAATTTTTTAAATGTAGCACTATAGTCTACGAAAAATTCAAGTAAGCTCAGGGTGACAAAGCATACATTCTGATCCAAGAAGTAAAAACCAGATGGAATAGAGCTTTTAAAATGGTGGAAAAAATTTTAGCCACAAATAAGTTCATATCGCCCGTCCTTCTCAGCCTGTTTAGAGCACCTGATCCACTGACCGCAGACGACATTGAAGATATTCAAACCATTCTGGCACTATTCTTTCGATCACCGTTTAATGCTGAACAAGCATTATTTCGAAAGAATAAACTCTGATAGTTCCAGCAATCCACTAGACTATTGGGGAGTAAGTAGCGATTTTTCTGCTTACTTCATCTAGTTTTCAAAAAATATGTTATGTTTTACAGAGCAATAAAAGTGACCAGCCAGCTTTGAAGTTGGCCAAAAAGGCTTTGTATGTCAAACGTAGTTGACCAGCTCCTATTCATCAATGAAAATTGGTGGATTACAGGGGTGTAATTCTAAAGAAGATCTCAAGTCTAGCGGCTGGACCGCTACTAACGAAGTAACGTTTTTATGTTTTTAAATATTCTTTTTATTATACCCGTTACTCGTAGAGTAAAAGGGTATACTAGATTCGTCGGAAAGTATGTAACAGGCAGAAGGAAGCGTTTCCGACCCCATAAACTGTATATATTCTTGATCACGATCACTAGCCGAATCGATCTAGCCATGTCCGTCTGTCCGTCCGTCCGGATAAACGCTGAGATCTCGGAAACTATAAGAGCTAGGCTATTGAGATTTGGCATGCTGAGCTTCTTACGGAGCGAAAGTTTGTTTCAGCAATGTGCCACGCCCACTCTAACGCACATAAACCGCCCACAAACTTCAAAAAATCGTAAATATGAACGCGGATATCTCAGAAACTATAGAAGATAGAGAATTGGGATTTCAGATTTAGATTCCGTAGCCTTGTACGCAGTGCAAGTTTGATACGCGAAGATTCCTCGCCCACTCTAACGCCCACAAACCGCCTAAGCCTGTGGCGCCCGTTTGGGCCAGCGAGAAATCGTATGCACCCGTGACATCAACCATCAAAATATATATGCAAACTTTAATTAATTCATACAACTCTCACAGAGGCTGTGCCAACTTGCACGGTATCGCATTCGAAGGGGCATCATTTTAGCTAATTTCTGAGTTAATTACAGGCAATTCAAACCCACAGTTTTCGAGAAATTCAAGTCTTTTCAATTATGGCTTTTCCCACGCGGTCACACTGTCCAGACCAGCGAGAAAGCAAATTCAGCCAAGACATTTACCACGAAAAGGTATTTATCGATATATCGCCAAGTGCCAGGCTACGACCTACAACACTTAAGTGAGCCAATCGAATATTTTTGGCCGCCAAGTATTGAAAAATATATATTTTATATATCAAATTTTCATTGTGATATGTATGCACCCCTAATTGGTATTTATTTCCTGATTATTTTAATGTATAATTCATCGAAATCGAGCCAGTGGTTTGGTAGAATTTAACATTTTATTGATTTTAGAAAAATATAAAAATTCCCTAGTTGCTATTGTGGAGTTGCCGTACTGCCGAAAACAATCCCCGTTACTTTTTGCGGGAACTTCATAAAAGATGGCACGCCAAATTTCAATGATAAAATGCATACGTTTATTTTTGATTTTACTTAATAATTATATTAACAATAAAAATTAATTTTTCAGACAATCACCAATTTTTATCTGGGGGGTTCCCAGACAGAGCCGCAACGTCGGCGGCAGGAGGAGCGCTCCGCCGACAGAGAGGAGTCGGCAAGTCGGTGCCTACGTGGTCCTGGTGACCAAAGCGGGATGGCGAGGAGTTACAATGTCGGTGGCAGCAGGAGCGCTTCGCCGATGGAGGGGAGCCGGCAAGTCGGCGCCGACGTCGTCCTGGTGACGAGGAGCGGAATGGCGATGGCGAGGAGTCACAACGTCGGCGCCGACGACGCAATCGCCAATCCGCTCCTGGTCACCAGGACGATGTTGGCGCCGAGGGCGATGCCAGCGGCGACCACCGCGCCAACGGCGGAGCAACGCGGCAGGAGGAAGCAGTAGAGCAACCGAGGGAAGCCGCCGATGGAGAGATGGAGATCAGGATGCAGAAGGAAGCCGCCGAAGCCGCCCAAAACAAATAAAAACAATTACATGTACATATACATAACAATAAAAAAGATTCAACATTTAAAATTCTGTTTGTTGTAATTATTTATTTATTTATTTATATAAAGCTAGCTGAAATTTAAAACTATAGGCTATCTAAATTAATAACATTTCAATTTTAAACTTAATTTTGGGTTTTTTATGGAATGTGATGATTTTCATGACGTTGTCGGGGGTTGGGTTTGAGATAATGTTGATGGGGTTAAGCGAATGGTAGGATTCTGATCTGGGTTGGGATATGGAAGGACAGTGTATAATGATATGTTGGATATTGGGGAGTGGTGGCAGAATGGGCATGTGTTGAGAAGTGTTCTAGTTCTACCTAGTCGTAGCTGGTGTTCTAATTATATTTTATTATTTATATATATATACTTCTGAGCAGATGTATTATTTTAGAGTAGATACTTTAAAAGTGTGTATATAGTTTTTCCGTTCATATAAGTTAGTCGATTACAAGATGTGTTACAAATTGGTAAACTAGTGAGGATTTTTCCGTATTTGCGCGTGGGTGAGTTTAAGTTAAAGTCACGATGGTTATTGAACGTAAGATTACGATAAGTATGTACCCTGCAGTACCATTCAGCGCTTATTGAGCACTCAATCACTGCAGAAAGCTCATCACTGAGCGCTCAATGAGCGCACAATTTGTATGGAACTAAGTGCTTAAATTAACATAGGCATGTCCTAGGGTTCATCAGTGCTCATAAAATAGCACGCATTGAGCGCTTTCTTGAGAACCCTTTTGAGCGCTTTTTTGAGCAGCAGAAAAAGCACACATTCAGCACATGTTGAGCGCTCGATTGAGCAGCGGAAAAAGCACACATTCAGCACACGTTGAGCGCTCATTCAAGCAGCGAAAAAGCGCACATTCAGCACACGTTGAGCGCTTAGCAGCAAATAAAATTTCAGTTGTAATTTTTATTTTTATTTGTTTATTTTAAAATTTGAGCTCGGGGGTTTCCGGTGTTATCGGTGCCGGCGTTGCCTTTTTTTGGTACAACTCAAGTTTTTAACGCACCGCATTGCCTTCTGCAGCGCCTTTTCGGGAGGCTCCGAGGGATCCACTAGGGCGATTGCATCTAGTATTAGAAAAAAATTAGTTTTAAAAATAAAACGTAATCGTTATTTGTAAGATTTATTTATAATAAAAGAAATGTTATCTTTGGCATTCAATGTAAAATCCCAGAAGTCTTTTAAAAATTAAACTTACAAACAATAGTTTTCAGCCTCAACAAAAACTTACTTAATAAGGCACGGGCGAAATTTGGGTAGTCTGAGCCTCTTCTTGTTTTGCCCCCCTCCAAGTTGTGGGACAGAACAAGTTCCTCGGATAATATGCTTAAGATGGAACGACTTAGCCTTCCATTTTTTTATAGATTTACCATCAGCCTTGTCTAAAAATATAAGAAAATTAAAAAAATATCGAGAAGAAATTTGCAAACTTTTGTTTTCGGTCACTTGATTTATTTTATTTTGTTGTAAAAAATTATTTATGTATTTTTTTTATTATTTATTAAATCATTTATTTATTTTGCAGATGCGGAAAAAATACCACTTTTCAATAAGATTTTCAAATTTTTTCACAGATTCATTAATTTGTTTATTTATATGCATCATTTGTTGTTTTTCACGTCAAAAATTAATATTTTTCACAGCTATTTTTTTTCCGCCACGTGTTTTTTTGGGAATCTTGTATTTTCCATTTTTTAAATATACATTAACTTGTTTTTACTCTCACTGATTAAATTAATATTGGTCTGCGACAGACTTACCTGGGAATCGTATAGGTATCACTTTTAAACCACTGGTTTATTTTATTTAACTACGTAATTGCGTGCAATTCTAACTCCTTCACATAAGTAAACCCAAGTGAAAAAGACGAAAAAAGTCGCGTGCCTTCCAGAAAAACAACAAGCAACAACAACAACGGTTCCGCTAATCCGTTGTTGTTCTGTTTTTTTGGCATGTCCCGTTTGGTCTATGCATCTTGCACATAAAAGTAGGGTATTTATAGACATATCCGACTATGCAAATCGGTTTATAAAAATATATTCTTAAAACTTCACATATTATTAAATAATATTAATAAACCTATAAATTTTTTTAAGAAATACAAATATTTGAAAACAGAAACCTATTATTTTAAATGGTTGTTTTATCATTTACGAACAAATGTTGCATTATTCAAAAGGCAAGGGTGCACAAAAGTCTATATATTTTAGTTGCTGGGCCTCCTTCCCATCACACGCAGTTTTCCGTCTGAGACATGGCGAGAGAGGGAGAGCCCAAAATTACTTTTTGTGCGTTCTCTTTGCGGACCCGACTGAGGGCGCGTCGCTTTGCCGCCGTTGCGCTCAGCTCTGCCGGCGTCGCTGGCTTCTCTGCCGACGTCGCAGTCGGCTTCGTGATGATTGGGCGCTTAGCTCAATTGTGGAACTGCAGGGTAAGCTTAATCTACCGAGTGTTGTATGTAAATGACTCAGCATTTATAACGATATATAAATAATCGCAAGTTCGATGTCTCCTGGGTAAGGTTCGCCCTAGCCCGTTGCTGCTACCTCCGCTCCACCTACAGATCCTTAACCAGGATGTCGGCACTCTGCAGGCGCTGTGTATGATCGGCGAGCATAGGTTTCGATTCTGGATGGTATAATATAAATTAGTAAATATTCTTCTTTAGTAACCCTTTTATTCACTCACGCTGAACCAGAGACTTGGTGTAGTGTTGCACCTGCCAATGGTCGAACACGCAGTGAGGGAAGGCATTTCCAATAGTTCTTACAGGCCTCGGTCACATCGTAGTCATGCTTGATCCTTCAGACAGATCTCCAAATGCGGCTCACCGGAACCGGCAAAAATGTGCTCTCCGGACTTCTCGACCCTACGCCAGCTTGGGCAGACCGGTGGGGTTCTTGGGCTCCCCAGGGGACAGGAAGAGCTTCTTGACCTGAAATCGAATGAGAAGATAGTACGAAATTAGTAATTTCAAATATTGTATTCTTCACTGTTTAATGTGTATAGAATGCACTGTAAAAATTTTAAATATTCTATAAATGTATGAAGATATGTAAATCACAAATTACATTGACAATTATTTTCTTTCCCTGCCGATTCGAGTACGGTTCGCGCCCCTGTAACTGCTGTAGTTCCATGACTATACCGTCGCATTGCAAACTCACATCCTTGATCTGCTCTGAGGGACAGCTTGGAAAACTAGAGGCGCTTCAGTTTCCTCTTCACGGCCGACGGACTGATGTACTTTTTGTGGCCAAGGCAAGATGTTTAACTGGTGAATTCGAAGCTCTTATTCGACGCCGTTGACAAGGTCTTACAATCGTCTATCTCAGATGAAACCTGCTAAGGACTGTGTGCCCGCTTGGGCGTGCTGATGGGAGCTGGCCCGGTATTCGCGGGAGAAGCATTGATGAGGGCTCTGGAATAGTGTATCGCTGAAGATAGATGTCTCCGAAATGGTGAGGTTGTTACCGTGCAGAGATAGCTCTAAGAACTTGAGGCGCTTCAGTGATACACCCTTCCATGCGTGGTGTCCATTGAGGAACTTGCCTTTTCATTTGCTGGGCGTTCCGGACTCTTCTAAAAACAAATAAGTTGGTTATTAAATCACACTCGTAATGGTTATTCAAATTTGCCGCAAAGTGTTCGCATTACCAACTCCTTTTGGGCGAACTTGCTCAGCCCGCAATCGAAGTCCTTCGGTCTTCTCGTCAAAAGAGTACTACATCAATAAGCAAAGCTACTTAGCGTGCAATAATTATTTGAAAATAACAAAATATCTAAGTGCAAATTGATTTTTAAAATTGTCTTACCTCGATCGTGAAGGTACTTGTGCAAGGACACATTTGGTAGCAGTATAGCTTCGACGTCTCCTCGCTCAGCAGCTTGCTACTGTAAGTCGGCGCGCCACATAAACTCCAGCACCATGTAGACCGAGTCCCCGATGTTGTGCATTAGCGAGCAGGGACCTCCAGCGAGGGTTTGGTTCGGGATTGTGGGGGAAGTGGGGAAGGGGGATACGATGGGAACTTGGCATACAAAAGTTTGGCGCGTAAGGATTTAGAATTACATTTATAAGTATATGTAGTCTCCTTACAATTACTTACCAGCGATGGCCGTGCTCCGGCGTTAAGCTATTGATGCTGTGTTTCCAGGAAACCCCGACCCTCATGCAGAAAAAAATTCAAAGTCTACTTACATTTTCTGCGTAAATTTTCCGCTGGAATCCTTGACTTCCTTTTGCGCTATAATAAAGGAACATATTAAAAGACATTCAGCAAAATAGTTTTAATACGAATAACTTACACATGATGTATCTATGTTTTTAGTTTTATTATAAATTTCAGCTTTTATTTTCTTTTCACTTTACTTCTCTACACGAGCTTCTCATTCAAAGTAACGGGGATTGTTTTCGGCAGTACGGCAACTCCACAATAGCAACTAGGGAATTTTCATATTTTTCTAAAATCAATAAAATGTTAAATTCTACCAAACCACTGGCTCGATTTCGATGAATTATACTTTAAAATAATCAGGAAATAAATTAGGGGGTTCATACATATCACAATGAAAATTTGATATATAAAATATATATTTTTCAATACTTGGCGGCCAAAAGTATTTGATTGGCTCAATTAAGTGTTGTAGGTCGTAGCCTGCCACTTGGCGATATATCGATAAATACCTTTTCGTGGTAAATGTCTTGGCTGAATTTGCTTTCTCGCTGGTCTGGACAGTGTGACCGCGTGGGAAAAGCCATAATTGAAAAGACTTGAATTTCTCGAAAACTGTGGGTTTGAATTGCCTGTAATTAATTCAGAAATTAGCTAAAATTATGACCATTCGAATGCGATACCGTGCAAGTTGGCACAACCTCTTTGAGAGTTGAATGAATTAGTTAAAGTTTGCATAGAAAATATTTATATTTTGATGGTTGATGTCATAGGTGGGTGGCGTGGACAGTGGGAAACGACAAATTTAAAAATTGTATGTGTTCAACACCCTCACTGTAAATCAACTTTTCTCAAAAACTGTGGATTTCATTTTTATGAAATTTTCAGTAAAAGTGTTTAAGACGATCCCCAATCTACCCATATACCGTGCATGCTGGCACAACGTCTAGGAGCGGAGCCGTAGGTAACTTTATTTTTGCCCCCCTTTTTTGTATGGGGAAATCCGAGATTGCGTCACTGTTAGGCTATTTTCTCGAAAACTGTGGGTTTGATTTTAATGAAACTTTTAGAAAAGGAGCTTGAATTAACCCTTAATAGCTTGGCTTATCGTGCATATTGGCACAACCTCTGTGAGGGGAGCAGTTAACAAAATTGTGGGGACACGATTTTTCAAATGCATTTTTGAAACATTAATAGACTTCGGATGTGTCCCTACCTAGATCGATAGATCTTTTCTTTCTTAACAATCTAGCATTTTAGATTTTTCGATTTGGTCCCCAAAAAGCGAGAAAATTTATTTTTCCAAATTTCCAAATTCCACCGTTCTACTTTCGTTGCTAACAGGCCGACAGGACATTGTTACATTGGTAAACGCGTTTGCAAGAGCTGTTCTGTGGTATTATAATAGGCGAGCTAAAGTAAGTAATGGACTCAAATAATATACTATTAATCAATTACAGTGCAGACAACATTTGCACATCATACATGAGCTAGAAAACACAATTATATTATTTTATTCCCTTTTATGTATGGATAGAAACCAACAGGGAAAATCTCCAGGAAATCACTTCAGGAGTTGGTGAGACTGGCACCAGGCCTATCAAAAAAAGGATACAGTGTTTGTCCCAGCCATTCCATTGGATAAACGTATTGCTGTTGTCCCATATTCGCTTGATTCACCCTCGAAATACAGAGCTATTAGCAGGATATTCAAAGATCGGCCAACAAATTACTAAAATACGGAATAGGTTTAAAAAAAGTATGAATTGCATACAATTGTATACTAACAAACTACTTTTATATAAGTATTAAAATTTAGATGTGCGTTTTAAAACAAAGCTCATTTTGTTACTACGGAAAAAAAAAGAAAAAAATAAATATTAAAAAAAATTTTTTTACACTTAAGGTCTGATTTACCTTTAGTTTGGTTTTTATATTTCCCGTCTTTTCTTAATCTTTCTAATGCGGTAACAATTTGATTTCTCCTAAATAGACTATATTATATTATAGACTATATTATATTATTTTAAAGGATCTTAAGCCCAAAATAGCTGTTACTGTACCTTTAAAGCTTAAAAACTGATTTTAGCTTGGATGTTGACTTTGAACTAATCAAAGACATGGCTGGGAACTTTGTGGCAAGTCACATTTGCCCAGACTTTTCATAAATAACAAGGAAGAACGCTATAGTCGAGTACCTCGACTATCAGATACCCGTTACTCAGCTATATGGAGATATGCAAGCAGCAAAGCGAGATTAAAATGCGCCACCTACCGGCGGTATACAGATTTAAGCGTTATGGGCGTTAGTGTGGGCGTTTTTTTTTTGATCAATCGATAGGTATTGATGAGAACAATACATTTCAGTTAACATTTTTATTCTAGCATCAAAACTGTAGGAGCCACAGTTTTGGGCGGTTTGTGGGCGTGGCACATTGCTGAAACAAACTTGCACTGCGTAAGAAGCTTAGGAATCTGCACGCCAAATCTCAATAGCGTAGCTCCCATAGTTTCCGAGATCTCAGCGTTCATCCGGACGGACAGACAGACGGACAGACGGACAGACGGACATGGCTAGATCGACTCGGCTAGTGATCCTGATCAAGAATATATATACTTTATGGGGTCGGAAACGCTTCCTTCTGCATGTTACATACTTTCCGACGAATCTAGTATACCCTTTTACTCTACGAGTAACGGGTATAATTATTGAATTTAAAAATACAAAAAATTATATTCCCAATAGTATAAGATAATATGTCAGAAAACACCGAAGCTATAAATTGTTTCATAGTATTTTCCCCCCAATTTTACTGTCGTTCTTATGAAAGCTATATGATATAGTCTTCCCATTTTGATAAAGTTAAATTCGAAAATCAGAACTAATTAAAAAATGCTATTTCCAAGCGTAGGGGGTTATATGTTAAAAAACACCGAAGCTATAATTTGTTTCATATTATTTTCCAACCAATTTTCCGTTCGTTCCTATGGCAGCTATATTATATAGTCGTCCGATTTTGATAAAATTAAATTCGAAATTCAGAACTAATTAAAAAATTGTATTTCCAAGCGTAGCAGGTAATATGTTAAAAAACATCGAAGCTATAATTGGTATCATATTATTTTCCCACCAATTTTCCTATCGTTCCTATGGCAGCTATATGATATAGTCGTCCGATTTTGATAAAATATTATTCGAAATTCAAAACTAATTAAAAAATGTTATTTCCAAGCTTAAAAGGTTATATGTTAAAAAACACCACAGATATAATTTTTTTTAATTTTTGTTCCGATTATTCCTATGGGAGCTATAAGATATAGTTGTCCGATCCGGCTGGTTCCGACTTATATACTACCTGCAAAACATATAAGACTTTTGGGAAAATTTCAGCCCGATAGCTTTTAAACTGAGAGACTAGTTTGCGTAGAAACGGACGGACAGACGGACATGGCTAGATCGACTCGTCTAGTCATGCTGATCAAGAATATACATACTTTATGGGGTCGGAAACGTCTCCTTCACTACGTTGCAAACTTCTGACTGAAATCAATATACGAAATTTAGCTATTTATAGCTGTTTTCCCGCCAAACTAGCGAGTTTTTCCAAAAGCGGTAGAACTAAAGATTCTTATATTAAGCTGTTTAACATTGTCTGGAATTTTCAGGACCCTAAAATAACGTTTTGGGATAAACTGATAAACCAAAAAAAAAATTTTATTTTGAATTTTTGTTTTTTTGTATAATTTTTGAACGAAGCACCGGATTTAAACAAATGAAGTGTCATTCGACACGTATTTTAAGTGTGAATGCAACTGGAGTAATAAACTTGTGCATTTATCCCCCAACATATCAAGTTTTCTACATTTTCACTTTAACACCCCTTTTTTCCCAAGCCAATTGATTTTTTAAAGTCTTGGTATGCAATTCTTTTAGTTTTTGCAACACCATTCGATTATTTATTCACCCGTAACGGTCGGACGACCACAGTAGATTTTCATTTCTTTGCGTATATATTGTAGTCGCCTTCGCACACCGCCCTGGTGCGCTTCGTCACTACGTGAATGGCCGACCACAGTAACAGGGTCGGAAACCCTTCCTTCCAGCTGTCAGATGCTTTCCAACCAAGACAATATACCCTTTACCCTACGAGTTACGGGTAACTGTTATTTTCGGTCCCTACCGTGTGAGGAAAAAAACGCATTTTTCTCAAAAATAATGTATCGATTTTTCACAAATGTTTTTATCCTAACAAACTGATTTTAAATTTTTAATAAAAGAGCAATTTTTACAGAGAAGGAAATAAAAAATAATTTAAGAATAAATACAATGGATTTTGAAAACGTGTTTTTTAAACTTTCATCAAACAAATTTAAACTTTAACTTCAAATGGCATGTACATACATGTATTAGACCATTTTAGTCTATTTTTATACAAGCGAGTGAAATTTATATCAAGTCCAATCATCCAATTAGCATATGTATGTATATGAAGTCATTTTTATTTACTCTGTACAAATAAGACATGCAAGAATAAAGATAAGTCGCTTCATTTTTTTAAAATTTTGTTTCAGTTGGAGGAACCGATATCATTGATTTGACATTAAGCTTACATTATTTCGTTGTTTTTACAGTTTAATAACAATTTTACTTAAATTTGACTTACATTCGTACAGGGCTGGCAAACGGTTTTGATACGCATGCGTTAAAAATCTAGAACAAATGAAATGTCAAGTGTCAAGCGACAGTGACGCAAATGACAGCTCTCTTACTTTTAGTCTCTCTTTCGCTGAGCTTTGGACCTCTAAGAGCAGCGTGAGTCCCGCGGGAGAAACAGGATAGCAATAACCCAGCCTCATCTGTGGGAAAACACTTTCCTTGGGGCACGGGCACAGTGCTTTTTAAGCTTTTCTCAAGCTTTGGAAGGATTCACCGTTGGCGCTGTCGCTGCCACTGCCGACGTCGCTGCTGGCGAAAAGCACTTCCTATGGAATTCAACGACATTTTATTCATTCTGTGCTAGATTTCCCGATAGTTCAAATCAGAGGTAAAGCCCCCAAGAGCGAACCGAAACAAAAATACCTGAAATCCGCAAAACCCAAACTACAACGCTCAGTTGTTGTTATTGCTTGCTTTTTGATCATTTTAATTTTTTTCAAAAACATTGGCTCCAGAAAGAATGAATGAAATAGCAATGCCGAGTGAAAAAAGTGTTTTTTTTTCGATCGACTCAAGTTTTACATTGAGATAAAAGTGTGTACAAGAGTGAGATGTAAGTTGCATAAT